GCTAAATAGGTGCTGAACTGCATGAGCCAACAGCCAAACACTCTGCCTGTAGATCAGGAGCTTGGTAAGAATTATTCTGAATAAAACAAGGGGAACAAAAAATAGTTTGTGTTCAGGTTATGATAGTAAGAGGCTGGGAAACTGCAGCTTGAAACATTGAAGGCTGTGCCTGTTGGTTTTGTAATGATCAAAGGCTTTGACAGGATTAATTCAAGTGTGTATCCACTCCCTGTTTTCAAGAAAGTACTCAGCATTTTACAAGCAGGTAGAAAGGTAAAGGCACTTTCCCTGAAGTTAGTACTATATGGGCAACCCCATGTATTTCCTAGGCCTGCATCACCACCTCTCACCTGCTGTCCTTTTGTCTGCTGGAAAAGGCAAGGTATTTTTTTCTGTTCTATAGCTGGGAAAAACACTGTGGAGATTGGGTGTGGTGGAACAGACAGCTGCTGTGACCAGGACAGTGTCAACAGAGTGACAGTCTGCTTATCTTTACCATCTGCTTCCTTAGAAGGCTGCTTGGATTGTTGTGTGTAGCTAAGCCAAAACACTCCTGGAGCATTCACTGATGAGCTCAGCTGTCTCTGGATAAGACAGGAAAAGTTGACCACTTTCCAGTTCTGGATAGCTGGGGCTTACCTAAGCAACAGGAGCAGTTGTAATTCCTCCTTTGTTTTCACATCAGAGGCCAATCAGTGCTAAGGCCCCACAGGTATTGCCCAGTATTCTGTGTGCCACCAGGGCAAGTCACGCTACAGAGTCTGGGCTTCAGTTACGCTTGTCCTTGTGCCAGGCTGGCAGTGCCAAAGTCACTCCGGACCCTAGAGCCAGCCTTCGTCTTGAGGAGGTGGTGCAGGGGAACAAGAGCCCTCCAGAGTTCCAGCTGGGTGTATGCTACAGTAGAAGAGGTTTCTTAGCCCAATAGAGATGGGAAAAGCCCCGTTAAGTCCAAGTGAGTCTGTCTTTTCAGGCAGATTGTCCTGCATGTTTTCAGGATGAAGTACTGGTTATATCACAAGGCTGCTAGAGAGAGGGTGTAGTTTTTGTAAGTGTCCCATGCTTGTGACTGAAGCAAAGCCAGATTTGAGCCATAACTAGCCCTAACTCGCCTTTTAACTACGCCGCCTTCTTTTCCTCTCTTTTTAATCTCTAAAGCCAGCACTAGCCCCACATCAGGCCTTGGGACTGCTGCCATCGTAGGCATTCTCATTGTCGTCTTTGTGCTGCTCCTGGTGGCTGTGGATGTCACCTGCTACTTCCTGAACAAGTGTGGCCTCCTGATGTGCATTGCTGTCAACTTGTGTGGCAAATCCGGACCAGGAGCCAAGGGCAAAGACATGGAAGAGGGCAAAGCCGCCTTCTCGTGAGTACTGTCATCGCTTACGTTGCTCCTTCTGTTCATTAGTGTGTCCTCTCGGCAACTCTGGAAAATAAACTGGTTTAGGGAGTGCCGAGTTCCTCACTTCTGATGGGCGGGTACTGAAAAGATCTGGGGCCATGCTGGTTCTGCTTTAAATTTCCAGGAAGGGGTTTCTTCAGCCATTTTTCTGGTTTTGTCCTATTCCTGTTAGTAGTCATCAAATGGGTGGCCCAAATGCTGGACATCACGGTGGTCTTTTGTGCTGTAGGTAATAACTGGAAGGGGGAGCAACAGAAAGAAGTAATCTGCTGTTTAGGCTAGTCTGTTTCTGGTGTCCACTGTGGACGTTTACAGCATGTCTTTGCAGGAGGATACCTAGTGTGAATGGAAACCAATCTCCATGCAATTCCCTTCTTACAGGAAAGATGAGTCCAAGGAGCCTATTGTGGAGGTGCGGACTGAAGAGGAGCGGACCCCCAACCACGATGGGGGAAAACACACAGAGCCCAATGAGACTACCCCGCTGACGGAGCCAGAGTATGTTGGCATTAGTCAATCTTAGCACAGGGTCGATATATTGTCCTCAGTTGCCTTAATCCCTCATCTCCCATGCCCATGACTTAGGGGACGAAGAGAGGAGGAAGAAAGGTAAAATCTCCACACTCAGTTTCTGACATACTAGTGAGGAATTTGCTTTAGGAAGCTGCTGAAACGCTTGTTAATGTTTCGGATTGATGGCACAAGTTGGATTCCTTTCCTTCAGCAGAATCATCACAGTGGTGTGGTGGTCAGGCTCTTCCACCTGCATATTGCTCACCTCCTTTGATTAGGTTAGCAGTGGGGCCCTGTGGTAAAATGGCTCTGCTGGAAGTTTCTGTGAGGAGAAGGGAGGCTGTGTCCACAAGCAGCTCTGAAAGGCAGATGTGCAGCACTGAGGAATAGCTGGGATTTGTATTGTCCTGATTTTCTCAGCTAGTCTTACCGGAGTTTTGACGCAATCATCCTCCTCTATGAAGGTTTTCTCTCTGTTAGTAAGCTTGAGGTGGTGTTCTCAGGCACAGTGGCTTCTTGTGGTGTATACCCTTTGTTTTTTCAGCCTCACATCCGTGTAGCTGTTAAAGCAACGAGTGCTACATCATGGCTGTGAAAGTGTAGTTCCATTGTCAGATACTGTCCTAAAGCAAACCTTGTTCCAAGTACCACAACAGGCTGGAATCTGGTCCGAAGGGCAGAAAACATCACTTCAAAGCTGCATGTATGTCTGCATGTAGACACGTTACGTGTGTGTGAGAAAGAGTTATATTCTTTGTGGTTTGATGAAGGCCTTAGACTTGTAGGCAAACAGACAGGGTGAAGATGGGGGACTGAATTCAGGGATCTTACACTGGGGCCTTGTTGTGTGGTGACAGATGGCACAGGGCTGCCAGCTCAGGGAACTGGTAGGAAGCTTCCTTCTGAGGTTAGGTGGCAGAGGCTGAGAGGAACGTTAGGCTAAAAGAGAAGAGTCTCTGCAAGTTGATAGGGTTATGTTTGGCTGAGACTTGAACCAAAACCTGCATGAGCAAGCCGTTCCTGAAGGATGGGTCCTCTTTGTTCTTTTTCTCTTCCTGGTTATTCTTCAGTCATCCCAGCCAGCCCTTCCTTCCCTTTGCGCTTTTGACCTCTGAAAGTTTTCTTGCTGCTCCTCTCGGTACCTCTCCATGTTCTGTGTGTGTTGTAACCATGTGCCACGCTGCTGCTGCACCACCCACCTGCCTTCTCGCTCATACCCTCTGCTCCTCTTTCCCCTGCTGTCGTTTATGGGCTTCATTGTCTCTTTCTCTTTCTATTTCTCTTCTACTCCTGTCCTCTTTACAGGCCCCCCGCCGATACCGCAGCTACTGTTGAGGACATGCTGCCTTCTGTAACTACAGGCACCACTAACTCTGACACTATCACTGAAACCTTTGCCACTGCTCAGAACAGCCCCACCAGCGAGACCACTACGCTGACCTCCAGTATTGCCCTGCCAGCCACGGCCACGCCTGACTCAAACTCCATTTTGCCTGGCCAGGCTACTCCAGCCAAAGGGGCAGCCACCTCAGTCTCTTCACCACCACCCTCCTCCACTCCCAAAGTGGCCCCCCTTGTTGATCTCAGCGATACCCCAAGCTCTACTCCAGCTACTAATAATCTGTCTTCAAGCGTCCTGTCCAACCAAGGTGCAGTGCTCAGCCCCAGCACTGTTGCTAACGTGGCCGAGACCTCCAAAGTGGCAGGGGGGAACAAGCCAGCTGCCCCAAGCCCTGCAAACCTCACTAGCCCTCCAGCTCCATCCGAGCCCAAGCAGGAGGTCTCAAGCACCAAGAGCCCTGAAAAGGAAGCTGTGCAGCCCAGTACAGTGAAGAGCCCAGCAGAGACAACCAAGAACCCAAGCAATCTGAAGAGCGAGGCTGCTTCAGGCAGCACTGTAACCCCCTCCCAGAATGAGGACTTTAAAATGGACGAAGGGACCTTCGAGACACCAGACATTGATCTTGCAAAGGATGTTTTTGCAGCTCTTGGCACTACGACTCCTGCCAGTGTGGCTAGCGGGCAAGCTCGTGAGCTTGCTTCTTCCACTGCAGACAGCTCTGTACCTGCTGCACCTGCAAAGACCGAGTATGGCTGCCTTTAATCTTCTGTTGGTTGTGTGCTGTGTCTCTTGTGCACTGGTGCTTGTGCTGTGTTCTTGTTGGATGTTCTCTTAACTAATCTCATTGTTTCCTTAGTAAATTAACCCACCCGTGAACCGACTAAACAGGGCTTGGCTTGGCAGGTCTAGGAGGAAAGCAGGAATAGACTGTGCCAGGGAAGCAGAGAAAAGACAAACCCAGGAATTTATCCCAAACGTGGTGTTCTTTAGCCTTCTATGTTGCTTTGTCCATCGTAGATTATTCTTTTATGGAAGAGATTAGAAGCAGTTCAGTTTGATGCAAAGAAAGTACATCAAAGAGGCGCAGAGTTCCTGCAGGTCAGTGAGCACAGCTCACAGCACCCAAATTCAATTTCCTAATGGATCGGTGGAGCCCTTCCCAACTTATTTCAGTGTAAGGCAGGGCAGGAACTAGTGCGATGTGAAACTGTAAAATCATGGTTCCTCTGGATTTGTCCCTGAACTGGCAAAAGGATAAAGTGACGTGATCCTGTCTGAGAGAGGGGGAGCAGTCACAGGACAGCTGGGTCAGGATCACTTGGCAGTGATATGTTGTCCTGCTATGTTAGAGATGAGTCTCCATCCACTGTACTGGGTCTTTACCCAGCTGATTTCTTCAGAAAGCATCAGCATGCTCCCAGGCAGGACAGCCAGGGAGAGTCCCCAGCTCTTGGGCAGCTGTTGGACAAGAACGCTCTTGCCATGTAGGTTTGGATGCCAGTTGCTCACAGAGCCATGAGCACAGAAGCCCGGAAAACCCTGAATGAAAATGGATAAGCCACCCCTGAGGGGGCAAGTACCTAAGGTCCCTGTTCCTTCTGGCTTCCTATTTGGACACCATGTGTTGATAGAGCAGGATGAAACAGGAGGAGTGTTTTGTCTTTCCTGCCTGAGCAGGATCTGTGCTTTATCACGAGAAAGAGTTCTGAAAAGGCAGCTCAGATCTGTTGAGGGAGCAGCTCCCAAGACCAAAAGACTGAGTTCACACTACATCTTTAGCTTTTGCAAAGGAAAGAGTATTGAGGACACTGGGTCTGCTAGCTTGCCACCAAGAATCTAACTAGCTGTTCTAGAGCTAGGTTTAGAGCTCAGTGAGGTAAATCTAAGCTATGCTATAGCAACCATGCTGGAGACATCCCCTGAGTCACAGCTTTGGTTAGAACTTTTGCTATCCTCACATCTCCAGGAAAAGGACCTCATTCTGGAAGCTTTGTATTTAATCCAAAATAAAGCATTGGCCTTGACCGTGGGCTTTGACACTGTGATTGCAGCGTGTCTTAGTGCTCACAGAAGAGCAGTCAAGTCAGACTCTAGAACCAAGAACCAGGCTCATTTCCAGATCTGAGCAAAGGCCCGTGCTGTTTTACTGTATGATTCAGGTGCCTTTACATCTTACGGCGCTGGTCTCTGTGTGCAGATGAGCTGCTCCCAAGCAGAGAAATCCATGCTTGCTTCACTGCACCTAAAGCCACTGCCCTGTCATGCTGGGTGCTAGAGAGAGGCAAGCAGAACAGAGAATTGTGATCTGGTGCTGACCTGAAAGGAAGTAGGAAATGGTTTGCCCGTAGTAAGGAAACATTTTAACTGAAGTAATGCAACTTGGTCTGTGTCGTGCAAATGAATTCTTGGTATGGTGGAACACAGAGTTGTGTTCTTTCTGCCACTCCAGCCACCCTCTTCTACCCGTGCTGCTCATCTGCTTCCCTTGGGATACATGAGTATTGCAACCGTAGGCTTTGATTCATCTTACCTGCTGGGCAGGGTGAATAAAGATTGCAATCATCTCAGGCTAATGTTGTGGCTGATGGGCTGGAACGGGCACTTCTTCAGGGAGGTCACTCAATGTGCCTTGCGTGGCACTTTTCATGACTATGAAGAGAAGTGTTGGACCAAGAGGCTTCTCTGATTCTTCAGTAAATTGCCCAAAGACAGGCTGATGAACTGGAGCTTTAGCCTGTGAAGATGCTGACCTCCCTTACACTTGGGAGAATGTGTTTGACAAAATTCACTGCTTCTTTGTTTCCCTTCCTGCAACATAATGGGAAATTCTGGGACTGACTTTCTGTAGGG